TGATATTCTCAAATTTTCTTGAATAATGCATCTTATTTAAGTTAAATAATCTTATTATGATCGGCTCATTTTATCATATTTAGTTTTTTTTAATAAATAAAATCTTTATATTTTTGACTATTTATCTGTCCTGAAACCCTTACGTTTAATGCTAGTGTTTTTTTTTTATATGCAATTGTTTCTTAAAAGAAATTATTTAATGCTGACGTGGAACATTTAAATAATAGATATATGAATAGGTTAAAATTTAATCTTCACTCAACAAATTTTAATGAAAGGCAGCATTATATTATAGTTTATATTATTTGTATGCACACATGAAATATGTTTCATTTAGTGATCGAAGACCTTAGTAACACGTGATATACACTCACATGTAATGTGTTTCATTTAACATTTAAACAAGATTATCATTACTTGTATGAAAAGCATGTGTTCTAGCCCATTTTGAGTCTTTCACAATTTTTTATATAAAAAATAATAAATAAAGTATTATTTTAAAAAAAAACTATGAGTTTATTTTGAGCAGCATAATAACTTTTTTTTTTAAAACAATCTAGAAAATTGATAAAAATGTAATTTACATAATATAACAAATATCAAAATATGGTGGTATGAAGGATGACCACCCAACACAATCGTTTGGTTATTTTATTTAATAATTATTTTATGGTGCCTTTAACTTAATAATTATTTTATTTAATAGAAAATAAATTGAATCAAAATTTAATAATTTTATTAAAATATTATATTTTTTTTAAAGAAAAAAGCTTAGTATTTATTGAAGATGAAGAGTAAAGTTTATCTTGAATCTTTTATTCAGTTGTAACTGTAATAGTCATAAGAAAAGATGTAATTGTATTATCTATCATATTGACCAATGTAATAGTACAGTCAGTTTATATACAAACTATTACAACTAAAACAAAGGCACGGGCTTAACTAAAGTAACTAATGGACCTAATCTCTATTTGTTAACACAGTTAATCATACTCTTAAAAGTTATACTCTAACACCCCCTCTCAAACTGAAGAGTAGTGATCAACATCAACAACTTTCAGTTTGTTCCGCAAATCTTAAAATGCAGTCGTGGCCAATGTCTTGGTAGAGTGTCAATAATTTGCATAGCTTCTAGGACATGTTGAATCTGGATATTTCCAGCAATAACTTGTTCATGAACGAAATGTATGTCAAGTTCTATGTTCTTTGTGCGAGCATGAAGCACGTGATTATGCGAAACCATAAATACACTGAGATTGTCACAAAGTAGCATAGGAGTATGAAACGATATTTTGAGCTCAGAGAAGAGTAATTCCAGCTACAATAGTTAAGAAGTTGAATGAGCCAAAGTCTTGTATTCTACTTCTATGCTAGAACGAGCAACAAGTGATTGCTTTTTGGAACTCCAAGCCACTAAGTTAGGAGCAAAATAGATGCAGGAACCAGAAGTAGAGCATCTATCATCTGGTCACTAGCCTAGTCTGAGTCACTATACGCATGTAGTGAGAATTTAGAAGCAGGAGCAGAAGGAGACAACATTAAACCATACATTGATGTGCCACTGAGATATCGCAAAAGTCTTCTAACCACAGCCCAATGAGTATCAAGAGGATAAGCCATGAATTGACAGGCATTTTTCACACTATATGCAATATCTGGTCTTGTCAAGGTTACATATTGAAGAGCTCCCACAATGGATCGATACAGATGTGGATCAGCCATGTGATTAGTACCATGTTTGCTAAATTTACATGTACTTAGCATAAGGTGGGGACACCATTGGCAGCAGTCATATTTTCCCTTGATAGAAGGTCTTGAATGTACTTGGATTGTGTTAAGATCATAGATCCATTACTCCAAAAGGTTACTTCAATGCCAAGAAAATATTTGGGTCTACCAAGCTTCTTCAGTGCAAATGTGATATAAAGCTTGTTGATCAAATCATGAATTAGAGAGGAGCTAGAGCTTATTATAAGTATATCATCTACATATATCAGGGCATAGAGAGTTATACCTTGTTTGTAATATACAAATAGAGGGTTTTCACACTTGGAAGGAGTAAACCCAAAATGAAACAAAGTTTGAATTAACTAAAGTGACTAATGGGCCTAATCTCCATTGGTTAACACAATTAACCATACTCTTAAAAATTATACTCTAACAGTATTAAAAAAAGCAGAAAACATTTTATATTGACACAAAACTTAGTCACAAGCTTTGGGTGCATATGTAAATGAGAAATGAAAGAGAAAAAATGTAAATTATATATAATTCAAAATAATAAAGTTATATATAATTATATATGTGTGTCTAACATAGGGTCAGTTCAAATATTTTAGTGGTCCTATTCTCATTTTAAAAATAAGACCTCTATTAAATAATAGAAATAAAAAAATAAAAAATACAATCCTTAATAAAATATTTAAATATTTATCAAATTTAACTTTTGTTCAATAATTATTTTTATGAGTTCGATTCTTTCAAATGACATTTTTTTAAATAAAACAACTCATAAAAGTGTAATATCATGGTTTAAACTAAAGATCCTTTTATTGCAAAACAAAGCTCCATCTGTTGTGGAATATATTATAACTAAACTATTTATATATTAATTAAACTAATTTTTTTCACGATGTTCTGTGCAGCAGCTCACCTTATACATCCATAGAGTCGGACACTATTATGTGTAACTATAAATTCGTCACATTCACGCTTCTTTGAAATGGTGTTTTTTGTAAATAAAACAACTCACACAAATGAAATATCATAGTTTGAACCAAGGACCCTTTCATTGCAAAACAAAGTTATATCCGTTGCACTACATCATAAATCATTTACTAAGTTTGCAAACACGAATATATTATAATTAAACTACTTATATATTAATTACACCGATTCTTTGCACAAGGCCCCTGAAAATTTGAGGCCATGTGTGATGGCTCACCTTGCACATTCACATAGTCGACCATGGTTTAACGAACCACAATTCCTTGCAGCTATAAATTTGTCACATTCATGTATTTGGTATTTTTTTATCGCTAGATCAAGATCAAAAAGTTAAAGTCTTTAAATTAAATATTTTATATTCAATACAAAATAAAAAGTTATGTTTAAATTTAGATCATTTTATTTTTATCCAACGATTGAAAAAATACTGAATGCGGCGAACTGTGACTGCAGTGTGTTGCAACTGGTTTTTAAATCAGAGTCGACACCCTTTATTTTTATCCTAAAGGAAGGGAGTATAAAGGAATAACCCTAAAAGTCAGAGATTCTAGATTTGAACTCGGTTCTAGACGAAGGGAAGGTGTTAGACACCCCTTATCTACCTTGTTCACAAGGATACTAGGTTTAGAAGCTAGATCTTAGGAAATAGGGTTTTTAATTATTATTGGGAAAAATGTTTGAATTTTATTTAGAGGGACTCGCCATGATTTTTGATTGTATGCCTACGTATCCTCTTAGGAGGATTCAGAATCCCATTTCGTAGTTCGCGGTTTGGTTGGTGTTTTTTTGCATTGCGCAGATATTTTAATTTTCCCCGCACTTAGTTCGAATGTGTGGATAACAAAGATTTTGAACTAAGAACGAAGTTAATTAAAAACACTTTGTATTCCTTTTTGGAAATTAATTGTTTGAATTAATTTATTATAAAAAGTAGTTCGACAATCGTTTGAATATTTTTATACGTATAGTTGAGGAGTCTGATATAGCTCCCTTATCACGTGGCCAAATATTGACCACATGTCGCTTGCGGATATTGTAATTTTAATGAATCACAGCTTTTAATATTCTGATATAAAATATTAAATCAAATTATGTTGCGAAAATTATTCTTAAGCGTGTGGTTTTAATATAAATAAGCAATATTATATTTTTCACTAAGTCTAAAATAATCCAATATTTATAATAATAAATAATATGTAATATTATAATTAAAATATAAATATAAATATACAATATTATAATTATTAAAATATAAATATAAATATATAAAAATCAGAAAAAATAAATAAATATATATATATAATGAAATTATAAAAAAATGAATTTGTTGGGGGGGGGTTTACGATTTTGGTTATGAGGTAATATTGGGGGGTGTAAATACAAAGGGCTTGAATTCAGATTTTGAATTCAGGCTCAAAAGACTAGGAGGTGCGTGTTATACACTTAGTAGCGAAACAGAGGTGCCAAAAGCATGGGGCCTGAATTCATATTTTTGAATTTAGGCCCAATGGCCTGAGGGTGCAAAATCACAAATGTTGGTAAATGCAAAAAGACTTGGGGTACATTTAGCTAACGGGCCAGGCCCAATGATCATATTTTATTTTTTTACAAAACAAATCCAAATTTACTAATTCATTCATTTTTCCCAATCATTCTTCTCTCCCTCACGCTCTCAGCAAACCCTAACGCCGAAACCCCCAGCTACCGCCGTCACCTGTCTAAAACTCCGGCAACCCCCAAACCCAACAACATCAAATATTTACAAATAAGAAAAAAGAAGGAAAAAAGGTGAGTGGTTTCGTTACCCAATTTTCCTTGCCTCTCGGTTATGATTCCGCCTTCCTAACCTCATTTTACTTAATTACAGTTACGGTGGTGTTTCATCGATGGTGAGCGGCGGTTCACGGTGAAGGAGGAGATGATGAAAGCGTGTGTTGGGCGAAGCAGATCGGAGTTTTTCTTTTCACAACCGAGCGCTTCAACTACGGAAATTTTGTGTCTTCCTCTCCTATTTTATCCTCTTTGTGTAAATTTTTCTCTGTATGATTATGTGTTTTGATTATTGAGTATGCTTTTTTCTGGATTGTAACAAACATTTCCATATTAGGTCAATTATGAATTAATCAAGTTTCTGTTTTGGTTTGATACTTATCTGTTATGGTTTAATTCTTTTCTTCTAATTTTATGATATGGATATGTATATCTATTCTGATGAGTTATGCACTAATTTATTTATTGTGAATTATTTTTACTGGTTTGTGAAATTAACTGATTCATTGAACTTGTTTTCTTTTGTTTTGATGACATACAAGGCGCTGATTTCTGTTGACTGTGGAATGAGAAACTGAAGCAATGCAATTTGAGTTGAACTGCTTTGGTATGGATCTTAAACTGATTTTACTTTGTAGCTGATCTTTCATGTTTCCTTTGATGTATCTTGTTAGATTTGTTGGCTGTACTTCGTATATATGAACGTTGCTGCATTGATGTATGTGTTTCTGTTTGGATTTTATGCAGGTCAAGAATTGGTGTGAACTTGAAGTCTTTGAACAAAGGATTAGAATCATGGAGAAGAAAGATGAAGATGTGTGAGGAATGAGTAGTGAGCTAGGGTTAGGATAGTTGATATGTTTATTTTTTATGTAATGTCTCCATGTCCTAAACTCCTTTGTAAAAGTGATGATGCACTCTTGATACACTCTTGTAATGGTATTGATGTAAATGGAAATGATGGTTTGAACTTGAAATGTCTTTTTCCACTCTTAACTTCCTATGAATGTATTGATTCTTTCCACCTTTGTTAATTATGGAACTCAATGGTAGAATCCCAAATACTCAAAGCAGAATTCTCTTCCAAATTGAAATTCCCTCCTTTTGTTTGTGAACGAACCATGAACATGTCTTGATAAGATTTACTTGAAATTGACATGATGATGTTGGATGGGACCTAAATGAATTTTAATGGACAATATCTTGCTGGAACTTTGAATAATATCGAATGGATTTTGCTCGAATACTTTTAGAAGAATGAATCTTGATGAAATCCTTTGAATAATATCTTGATCCTTTCATGATTTTCATAATACAATGGATTTAAACCAAAGTTTAAACCATATTTTCCTTTTGAAGAAACCTTAATACCAAGTCCACATTAACTTGTCATTTAAGCAACAAACCATAAGAAATTGAGAGAGTATAACCATGTCATGATTACAATGAATCCATCATTTCTTGTACCATGTCTTAACTTAAATAAATCTCAATTGAAAACCAATATTGAAACCCTAATGATCTTTCCCTTGATGAAAATTTGTAGCTTGATTAAATAAAAGGTCCATGATAACCATGAATCAAACTTTAATTTCACAATCCAATTCTCATAGACAAACAAGTGAATCAGGCTTATTTGATGTATGAGTCTTTAAATCACGTGGAACCCTAGCTTTATTGATTCCTTGATCCCATGCCTATTTTTATTGGTTAATGATGCATGATTATTTAAATTTCTAGGGTAAATTTGGGGTATGACAGCTTCCCCTATTTAATCATCTTTCGATTAAATAACGCATTAATATGCATGTCTCGCAAGCTTAATCGGAGGTTTATTAAATATTGGAAAACCCCAAGTTTTGACCGAGATATAATAAGGATAGATTGTACAGCGTTCCCATGAAAATAATGAATAGGCATAAATGATGATGTATCATCCTACCGGCATTTGAACCAATGTTTTGATAGAATTTAGACACGACGACGCGGATAAATCGTCAGTATCTAAGGGATTGTAGAATTTTCTTATTTACCATAACCTATGAGGTAAATGATACACGTTTTGAAAAGCTTACCTACTAATGCTAGGAGACTAATATAGTAAGCTTGTGACACATATTTTGTATATTCATCGCAACCTAGGGGACAAATAAAACAAAGTTTGATAACACATTGCTGCATGGAGACTGATGCAATGGATTACACAAATTTCGCTATGTTACTGCAACCTAGGGAGTAAATAGAACGATGATGAACCTGTGCATTTATCACAACCTAGGGGATAAAAGACAACAGGGGTGGGCTTACGTTATCCATCGCAACCTAGGGGGTGAATAATATAACCTTGAAGATTTGCATATCTATCGCAACCTAGGGGATAAATAGTTGAAACAAGCTTGAAACCAGATATTTGGAACTTGGAATGACGATGTTGGTTGTGTCGTCTCAACCAAGATTTGATAACCAAATGAAATATACTAGATTTGAAGCGGTGGAACCCAAAATTCACTGATGAGGTTAGTTGTGTCGTCTCAACCATAACCATCAACATGAAGAAAAATACCCCGAACACACGATGATGTTGGTGTGTCGTCTCAACCATAATCAATATGAAGAAAATAAATCCCAAATTCATGATGATATTGGTCGTGTCGTCTCAACCATTATCAACATGAAGAAAATGAACCCCAAACTCATGATGATATTGGTCGTGTCGTCTCAACCAATATCAACATGAAGAAAATGAACTCCAAACTCATGATGATATTGGTCGTATCATCTCAACCATTATCAACATAAAAAAAATGAACCCCAAACTCATGATAATATTGGTCGCGTCGTCTCAACCATTATCAAGATGAAGAAAATAAACCCCAAATTTATGATGATATTGGTCGTGTCGTCTAAACCATTATCAACATGAAGAAAATAAACCCCAAATTCATGATGATATTGGTCGTGTCGTCTCAACCATTATCAACATGAAGAAAATGAACCCCAAACTCATGATGATATTGGTTGTGTCGTCTCAACCATTATCAACATGAAGAAAATAAACCCCAAATTCATGATGATATTGGTCGTGTCGTCTCAACCATTATCAACATGAAGAAAATAAACCCCAAATTCATGATGATATTGGTCGTGTCGTCTCAACTGTTATCAACATGAAGAAAATAAACCCTAAATTCAGGATGATATTTATCGTGTCGTCTCAACCATTATCAATATGAAGAAAATAAACCCCAAATTCACGATGATATTGGTCATGTCGTCTCAACCATTATCAACATGAAGGAAATAAACCCTAAATTCATGATGATATTGGTTGTGTCCTCTCAACCATTATAAACATGAAGAAAATAAACCCCAAACTCATGATGATATTGGTCGTGTCGTCTCAATCTTTATCAACATGAAAAAAATAAACCCCAAAAGAATGTGTAATCTTAACCAGAGTAGCTTTGCAAGATTCCATGTATGCATAATGCCCTAAACTGATGTGTTATCCAAGTGTGATGTATGCCCCAAATGTTTGTATGTGTATGTACAAGAATGCTTATGTGCTTATGCCCCAAATGTTTGTATGTGCATGCCCCAAGTATGTGTATGCTTTTGATATCTATATTTTGTTAAACCATCGGGTTCTCGTAGTCAGCAACTCCCCGACGGTGTTTTTTGCCCATTATTGTATCTCAAAGTGGATTTGGATTTAGCGAGATCTTGATGTCTGTATCGTAGGCGTAGGCGTAGGCGTGGGCGCAATACATGGACGTTGGCGCGAATATTGACATAGTCGCGAATATAGGCATGGACATGGACGTTGGCGTAGTCGTTGATGTAGTATGTGGATGTTAGCGTGGATACCCCTTCAATGTTTTTCTAACCAAAATGCTTTTCGATGTTTTATCAAATGCTTTTATTGGTATGTCAATTCCCCAAAAACGATTTCAAACAATATTGACAAAAAATAATTGTAGCACTTTGCAAACAAGTCTAAAAAAAAGAAAGAAACACATTTGAAATATTTGAAGAAGACTTCAATGTTTTATTGATAAATATGCCTCTGAATAGGCGAGTGTACAAGATGCAATCCCTAGAAGGAGGTAATCACATAAATTTTTTGATAAAAAACTGTAAATGGCAATGAAAATGATGATTGCTACTGCTATTTTCCCCAATATTCTCTTGATAGCTCCAATCTTCTTTGCTTTTGAGTCATATGATTTATACCAATCCCTTCCTTAGTGGTTCGTAGTCGTGGTTCTTAGATCACAGTCTTTTTGTTCTTTATTTCTTTGAATAAAATACCTAATTTTTGCCTGGATCGGCCTTTCGGGTTTTCAAACCACTGGGATAATTTTTTGGGTGTATGTCCCTAATTTTGCATGGATCGCCCTTTTAGGGTTTTCAATCCACCGGGACGCTCCTTTTTGCCTAAGTCTCCTTTTTAGGGGTAGAGCTTAGCGAGCTTTCTTATACCTAATATTTTTTTACTGCGTCTGTATTTGCTGGATGTGGTAATTCTTCCCCATCCATTGTTGTGAGGATAAGACCTCCACTGGAGAATGTCGTTTTTACCACAAATGGACCCTCGTAATTAGGTGTCCATTTACCACATGAGTCGAGGCGAGGTAGCAGAATCTTTTTGAGTACTAAGTCCCCTTCTTTGAATACGCGAGGACGAACTTTCTTATCGAAGGCTTTCTTCATCTGTTTCTGGTATAATTGACCATGACACACATTTGTCAAGCATTTTTCTTCAATGAGGTTGAGATGATCAAGTCGTGTTTGAACCCATTCGGCTTCTTCGAGCTTAGTTTCCATTAGCACTCAGAGTGATGGAATTTCTATCTCAACTAGGAGTACCACCTTCATGCTGTATACTAGTGAAAAAGGAGTTGCACCTGTTGACGTGCATACAGAAGTACGATAGCCATGTAAAGAAAAAGGAATAATTTTGTACCAATCTCTGTATGTCTTCACCATCTTCTGAATGATTTTATTGATATTCTTGTTTGCATCTTCGACGGCCCCGTTCATCTTGGGTCAATATGGTGAGGAATTATGATGCCCGATCTTGAAATCGTCGCATAATTCTTTCATCATTTTGTTATTTAGATTGGACCCGTTATCAATTATGATCTTGTTTGGAACTCCATATCTACATATGAGATTTTTCTTGATGAAACGAGTGACCACTTGGCTTGTCACATTCGCGTATGATGTTGCCTCTACCCATTTGGTGAAGTAATCAATGGCGACTAGTATAAATCAGTGTCCGTTAGATGCCTTTGGTTCGATCATACCTATCATATCAATTACCCATATTGAGAACGGTCATGGAGAGCTCATGACATTTAGAGGAGTAGGTGGTACATTCATTTTGTCGGTATATATTTGTCATTTGTGATAGGTTTTTGTATAATGATAGCAATCTGCTTCCATTGTTAACCAGTATTACCCTGCCCGTAGGATTTTTCTTGCCATAGCATGCCCATTTGTATGGGTTATGAAGGTGCCTTCGTGGATTTCCCTCATAAGTGTATCCACTTATTGTTTCTCTACACACTTGAGTAGCACCATATCATAATTTCTTTTGCACAATACATTACCGCTCAGAAAGAATTTTGATGCTAGCATTCGCAGGGTTCATTTGTCGATAATAGAGGCATTTTCTGGATATTCTTGCCTTTCAAGATATCTCTTGATGTCGTAGAACCAAGGCTTGTCATCTGGTCGTTCTTCAATAGCGAGACAGTGTGCTGGCTCTTCAAAATGTATGATGATGATGCATGGCTCGTGGTTGGGCCAGGTTCCTATAAACATAGCTGACAAGGTTGCTAGAGCATCTGCAATTTGATTTTCTTCTCACGGGATGTGGTTAAAAGTGATTTCGGTGAATTCCGCATCTAGCTTTAAAACATGATCCCGATAAGGAATAAAGTTTGGGTGTTTGGTGTCCCATTCACCTTTG